TCGGCCAATCAACACCAAGTGTGGCGTGGTGCTATTGTTCACATGTAACCATTACAACCATCTCGCCTCTGTTTGTTTGGTAGTCCACTTCCTGTGGATGGGAAGCGCTGTTGACAATACAGATAAATGGTTCGCCAGAAAGAAGGTTAATTTTGTGTTTCCATATGCCTGATCACACCGTGATAAATGAGTGCTGAAGAGACGCTCACAAATAAATGATATGACCGAGCGTATAAACCCGATACACATCCTGACAATCAATATCGTTCTCAGGGAAAGTCATCGGCATCCTAATAAGGTTGTCGTGTGAGTGACCCTGTGTGTACTGTTCATCGCTGGCTGTTGAGGACGTGGGTTTAATGATAACTTTATTTGCAGCTTTGACATTATTAAATACCTTGATTAAACAATTACCAGTATGAAGTCGCTAGCTCAATACATGTTTCACTGACCAACTCTCTGTCATCAATCGATACCCTGATCCGTGATCAATGCCTACACAGACATGTTCAACCTCGCCTATCCTCAATCACAAACGGATTAACATATATGATCTATGAAAACTGATAGATATTTTTTGTTTCATATCTATATATTTGTTTGGCCTCTCTTGACAGATATTTTGTAAAATAACACAATATCTTATTACTGAAAGTAATTTGTTAATTCCTTTTGTGTCCAGCTACAGGTCCTATTTTGAGGACACAGGAGGAAATGTGATCATATGGTGTAGGTTGTCATCACACAACAGGTCCATATGCTTAATTAATATGGATGGAGAAGCCCTAGAAATGATATAAAACCAGGAATCGGGCCCGTCCCTGGTGGGCTTTTCACATTCCCACCTTATTCCAGATGAAAGGCAGCATGTCAAATCAAACGCATTTCAAGCTAAATTTGGCAATGAATAGTTGACTTGAAAGATGATAAATGGACTCTCAAGAGATTCTTCCACATTTCAAAAGCAATTAGAAGACCATTATTATTGAGACGCTTGCATAAAAAGCTGACAGTCTGAGAGCTAAACAAGGGAAGCAACTCCTTTCAGCATTCTCAAAATAAATTTGATTTAAATTGATCCAAATATCTTGTTAAAAAAATGCTGAATGTAATGAAATATAAGAGAAGTTTATAATACCTGGCTAAATACCCATTAGATGTTGTTCAGCGACAGTCATCAAAACATTAGGGGACAAAGTTTGACCAATATTACAGTAACGGGTGGATAATGGAAGTGTGAATATTGATATTGAGATAAAAAAAAGTTATTATTACGATGATTGCATGATGACATTGTGTTATGAACCACATAGAGTATTGGATGTAAAGAATGAGCTGCACGCTGAGCTAAAGATGTCAGTATAGTGTCGCTTTGTCCTTACATTGTATATGGTATGGTAATCGGGCTGATTCATGACTGTAGCCCTTTAGATGTACTTGCACTTTTGTCACCCCACCTGACAAAAGCAGCCTGGTGATTCAGCCCACAATGGGATGGATCAGGTTGTCCTCATCCTAGACCTGCTTCATTAGGTAATAGCAAGGTCAGGTTAAAGCTGGAACTGGATCATTGCCACAATGAGCTCCTTGTCGATCACTAGATATTTCTTAACCAGTCCAATGAGTGTTGAAATATAACCACTTTCATGACAATGGCATTGAATGTTAGCTATGATTAAGGAAGCCAAGTATCAAAATAACAAAGGCTATTGAAAAATTCCACACTTATTCCTCCATATCAGTTTTCTTTTCGAGTAGTAAGAATATCAACTGACAAAACTATTCAAGCTCTTTAGTCCGCCAACAAACATGAATCCTTCCTATGAGTTTTGATGCTATTTTTGTCATATTTGGAGTACCCCATTTGACCCTCAAATTAGGAAGCCCCGCTGCAGTCGACTTGTGATTCAATAATCTGTATTATCTTGTTACAACTGCACCGGTAGTCCAACACAAGTGCACACGTGCTAGTAAACCACTGTAGAGGCTGTTAGCACAGCTACCTAATGGCTACGATCCTCTCACAGATCCTATAACTTTTAAACCAACATATTGAAGCCAATTACTGACAAGTTGATTCCTGGGTCCAATCTAGAACCCGGTTCTATTTCTGCAGCTTTTTTATTGTTTATGGTGCATTGATTACATTTCTCATTACTCGCCCATCTCGCGACTCGTCACTCATGAACAGTGTTACCACACGGCAGGGTACATAAAATCTCCCACTTTGTTTTGGTCTAATGGAAATATAGCTTCAAAAAATGCTTCTGTTTTACAACGTACTACTGTTTTCTAAATTGTATAGTCAGCTGTAATATTGTTGTAATCTTTTCACTTGAGTGGTTAACTAATGGGAGATAGTCAGGTCACGCTTTAAGTATTTACAGTAATGTTATTTTTAGAAAACTATGAATTTTATATTGACTGTGTACCACAAACTAAATGATATTATCTATGGCTGCTCAAAAGAGAGATGGAAATTAATAATAAAAAAGTGCAAAAGTATTTATGTAGCATAATTTGTGTCGCAAAAACAGTACATAAGTATAAACATAGCATTTGTGACGTCGTAAATTTTAAGTGTTCAGGTAGCATTTCTTGTTGTGTTCTAAAAAACTAATGACAATGTGGTAAAAGGTGATCTCAGCTTCCAGTTTAAAAAATATTTATGAAGTTTATCAATTCTTAACCATTCCTTGTTGAGTTCAAGCATATATTCTCGATCATAACCAGTTCATCATAATGAGTATCTTAACCATAAGAGACTAAAATTCAACTTAATTGTTTCAGATTCATTTAAGGAGTTTAAATTGTTTACTTTAATTTGATAGTTTTTATCCCCGACAGCAATGAAGTGCAGAGTTATTTGAAACAGTTGATGATTTTATAATAAAAAAATAATACTGTTTCATGGGTACATCAATTTGTGGATTAAGATTACACAGTAATTTAATATTTTTTTGGGGGAAAAAACATAGAAATTAAAACTGAAAATAGTTCTGGAAAGTTATAATGTGTAGCTGTATAGCACTATTGGAAAAAGGTAATCATTGATCCCTGTACAGGACATTTAGTACAGCTACCACAAACTGGAAAATGGAACACTAACATATTCTTACTACTGGTCTTTATCTTCCTGGTCCCCTAGAATGTTCTAAAAGACATGAGGAATTGATGGTTTAGTAGTTCCTGTTTTAAGGTAGAGAGTGACTTGTTAGAGAGTTAAAACATTTTATAATGATTCCCAGTAATGTTGCAGAAAAAAAGTATTATCAGTATTGTAGTGAGGTGGATCAAGTCCTTTAGAATCAAAAGGTCTGGGTACTTAATCCTCTTGGCTGAGGTGTTTTTTGTGAAAGTTATAATAAACCAGTTTTTTTGTATATAACTTTGCTAAAGTAAATAATGCCAACAATTTGGAACTAGTTTTCATTGGAGATCCAGCAAAGCTCTGGGACTCTCTACCTGAACTTATTCACCCCTACATATTTAAACTGGACTTGTCCGGTCTTTGATTGGTAAGGTTCATATGTGACTTTAGGGGTGAATGGGTTAAATGCATGATTTGTCCATGAGAAAATTCGTTTCATAACAAACAAAAATATTTTTTTTATTTCTGGACTTATTTATTCATTGACAAGATTAACGGCAGAATCAGTGGAAATAAATCCCCCATGAAAAACTTGTAAAAAATTACAGTACATGTAGAATCGAAAAGGGTCAAATGAAAAGGAAACAAGATCACACTTCCATAATAAAAAAATAAATCTATATAGTTGATCTCCAGAGTAATGTGTGAGATCCCAGTTCACAATAAGTGAGAGAGAGATTGGATTAGTTTTTGTTCAGACATATCCATCTACCCTGAAATTATTTATTTCATCAGATAAAGATGAACTGAAAGTGGCTCGGTATACAAGTGATAGAATAATATAAATATGAACAATTCAAGGTATTTTGTTACCACAACAAGTTAAGAAATAATCTTAAATGGAATACCTGTGAAACTTTGATGACTGCTAACACTAAGGTGACACAAGTATGACTCAAACCAGGTGAAAGTGAACCGACAAGGCATTAGTATGACTCAACTCATTCACCCCTGAAATTTCATAATGGACTATTCTAACCTTTGTATTGGAGGAGTTGAAATGTGACTTCAGGGTTGAATGAGTTAAGGATCCCTGTACCACTGCCAGAAACTGTAACTAAATGTGGCATGACTATAACTTTGATAAATCATTTTGTGGGAAAAGAAAACCATACCTTGCGAGACTTATATGTGAAATAATTAAAAAAATACAAACAAAATATAATTAACAACAATGTTCTGAGTGGGAAAAGTTCAAGGAAGAGGCTAGACCCGAATTCAAACACTGGACTTTATATTGTAACACTATAGCTCGATCTGATTGAGCTACCTAGTGATCAGAAGTGTCCTGACCCAATGGTGCCACAGTTAGATCCAAACGGAAGTTAAAGGGAGGTTACTTTATATACGAAAAACCACAGTGTAGTGGGACAAGCATCCATAAAGACAGACTACTGGAAATCTCACCACTGACAGGGAACAGTGGAAGTCTCAATATAACGTTAAAGACAACTGACCACCATCAAACTCCCATCATTCTTAATTTAGAAATGGAAAAAGACTCATTGTCAATTGAAAATTTGCCTCATCATTTTATAAAAAGACTGAGCAAGTATCTTTAATGAAGGGACTCTTTTTCTTTTTGAATTATTAATGATTGTGTATTAATTTGGCTTAATTGAGGTCAGATGTCAAAGGTCAAGGTAAATGAAGAAGTGTATTAATTTGACTTAATTGAGGTCAGATGTCAAAGGTCAAGGTAAATGAAGAACATTGTACACTTGCAAATTAAGTTTAAAGCATATGCATGTATTTAATCGTTTTGTTTTGCTGTCGATCCAATAAATTGTGATTGTGTTGTTGTCACTATTAAGACCAATGATCTGTAGCTCCTTGACAACAAACTTACGGTTAGGCACTGTATGAGGGAGTCTTCAAAGGCCTTTTGGAAAGCTCGCATGTCGGAACACCACTCCAGCAATTCTCTGGCTGCATTTTGGAACCCCGCAGGCGTAGACAAGTGCTGAAACCCAATCAAAATTGACATTAGAATGGAATACTAGCATGACAATTGCAATTGAAATGCTTCTGTCTTAATTCTTTTTCCGGATACAACAAAAAAAGAAACATCGATTTCACTTTTTTTCAATAATTGATTTCAATATTATTTGCAGTTCGGTACTTTATGCCGGAAGTTTTACCATAATAGCATTGGGAAACCAATTTTAGTCAGCAAATATATTTTGTAAATGAATTAATCATCATCTTGCTTTCTAGACGTTGAAATTCACAATAAGATTGAAAAATACCTTTGTCTTTCAATTTTGGAAAAGAGATCACTATCATGCACAGAAACGAAGCATGCTTCTTGTCCTTTTGAGGGCTGATTTCTTGGCATATATTTAAAACAGTTGACATTTTATGACGACAGTATATTAAGTTACCCATTAGAATTCAAAAGACACAAGTATCGGTGAAACAGCTCACAACTATATTGGAACAAACTAATATCGAAATTGTTTTTTTGATCTCTGCTCAATACATATAATTCACAGTACTGTAAAAGTCTATGGTAATCGTCCTAACTTCATGGCTGAAAACTGTTTTCCTTTGCCAGCAGTCTTCTGGGTCCAAATTAATGAAGCTTTTCTTGTGCTCAAACTAGAATACAGTGCTTGGGAAAAATTCCTTGCTTTGTTGATAAATTATTTGAATTTCTCCCTTTTCCATGATTTTGAAGAAATCTGGATAGACTTGAAAGAAAATATCATTTTTGATGTCACTTATCAGCAAAACAGGAAGATTTTTACTAAGTTTTCGGGTGAAAGACAAAGTTGAAAACATATTCAAGGGTCTGGAGTGAGAGAATTTTTGGGTTTGTTAGAATGAACAAGAATTGTCTCGAGTGTGAGAATTTCAGATTGTCCGAAATAAAGTTCCTCAGTATGTTGGTGGCATTGTGTACAAACACGACTTACGTTTTTAATGCAGTGGAGTCTGTCTACGGTCTGCTGGATGTGGCGCTCCATGTCCGTGATGGCGGTGTTGCTGGGAACATTTGACCAGTGATCAAGCATCTGGACTGATGGTTTAAAACTTACATAAGAATGTCTTGGGATCTCACAGCCTTTTACCACACTGGCACAACATTGGCACTACATCGTCCTTCACATCTTAACCACAGGACTTGGGTCAAAGTTCACAATGTTCACTTACTTCCCCACATCATCCATTGTTCAGTATCATGGCAATTGGTGAAGGTCAAGTTGTTAAATGAAATCTGGAAAAACAATGAAAATAGTTAGTAAATTGGTATATTTTAACCAGATAAAGGAGGAGCTTATCAATTGTGTAATGTGTTGTTTTAGAGTTCCTGTTCCAAGCACTTTGAGTTTAAGCTGTACCCAAGGCATGAGCATGAGAGAAGGGTATGTTTTCAGGGTAAGTTTAACCAAGACTTGCCATTGATTCATTATGATTATTTGCACACTGATAATTTACATTTTGGGTTGGTTAATGCAGAGAAGCTATGTGAAGGTTAGCTATAGATTCAACATTTGTGCTATTATGCCGATATTTTGCATGAGGATTGGTTCATTGAAGGTCTTGCATTGATGCAGTGAAAAGTATTAACAAGTGAGTGTTAGGTGACTTTGACACCATCTCTGGTTATTCAACTACAGTGGAGCGTCCATTTTACTGATTTTTCTTTTACATACTCTTCTTTATTCAGCAATAGACACAAATGTCTTTGTACCATAAATACATTGTATATGTACAAGGATCTTCATTAAACTTCTCAACTTAAATGCAGATTTCACGACATGTACAGCATTATAATATATCTACAGTGAGCGATATAAAAATATTTAACTACAGCCTGAATATGTTGCTTAAGTAGAGAAGTGTGTTGATTATCCTTGATTTCCACTGATATTAAACTCGCAGTCCAATTCGCTCTAGTTCACCTAGTCAGGACAGAGACCTATATGATGGTGAATCAGCTCGTACAGCCCTGAAGTTGATACATGATAAAGGAATTAGGGTCGTTAAATTTTATTTCCATACAGTGTGGAAGAAAACATGAAAGAGGTATTCAAAAGCAGAAAGGATTTGAAACGATTATTTGGTTAATGTCTTGTGCCAATTAGAGTATGAAGTCCTAGCTACATGCCAAGTGTTGTTTGTGCTATAATATGCAGATAACATTTGATTTTGGTTTGATTCAATTTTGTATAAAACAAATTTCCCAGGGGGCAGAATCCTCCAACAATCAAAGAGATTGGTTTATTTCCCTATTTGGAGTTATTACAGTATTCAATCAAGACATGATTTTGAACAACACCAATAAATTGTGTCCATTTTTTTCTCTGAAATTCCAACAAATATCTTGCAGATAGCAGTACATGTATAGAAATTTGTAGCAACTTAATCCCATACACATAACCCAGTAGATTAGATTTACACTTAATCCCCTACACATAACCCAGTACAGTAGAATTACACTTAATCCCCTACACATAACCCAGTAGAATAGAGTTACACTTAATCCCCTACACATAACCCAGTAGAATAGAGTTACACTTAATCCCCTACACATAACCCAGTAGAGTAGAGTTACACTTAATCCCCTACACATAACCCAGTAGAATAGAGTTACACTTAATCCCCTACACATAACCCAGTAGAATAGAGTTACACTTAATCCCCTACACATAACCCAGTAGAGAAGAATTACACTTAATCCCCTACACATAACCCAGTACAGTAGAATTACACTTAATCCCCTACCCATAACCCAGTAGAGTAGATTTACACTTAATCCCCTACACATACCCCAGTAGAGTAGATTTACACTTAATCCCCTACACATACCCCAGTAGAGTAGATTTACACTTAATCCCCTACACATAACCCAGTACAGTAGAATTCCACTTACTCCCCTACACATAACCCAGTACAGTAGAATTACACTTAATCCCCTACACATAACCCAGTACAGTAGAATTACACTTAATCCCCTACCCATAACCCAGTAGAGTAGATTTACACTTAATCCCCTACACATACCCCAGTAGAGTAGATTTACACTTAATCCCCTACGCATAACCCAGTAGAGTAGAATTACACATAATCCCCCACACATAACCCAGTAGAGTAGATTTACACTTAATCCCCTACGCATAACCCAGTAGAGTAGAATTACACATAATACCCTACACATAACCCAGTAGAGTAGAATTACACATAATCCCCCACACATAACCCAGTAGAGTAGATTTACACTTAATCCCCTACACATACCCCAGTAGAGTAGATTTACACTTAATCCCCTACACATACCCCAGTAGAGTAGATTTACACTTAATCCCCTACACATAACCCGGTAGAGTAGAATTACACTTAATCCCCTATACATAACCCAGTAGAGTAGATTTACACTTAATCCCCTACACATAACCCAGTAGAGTAGAATTACACTTAATCCCCTATACATAACCCAGTAGAGTAGATTTACACTTAATCCCCTCGCATAACCAAGTAGAGTAGATTTACACTTAATCCCTTACACATAACCCAGTAGAGTAGAATTACACTAACTACAGGTTGATTGTGTAACAGAGATGATTGTTTATTGTGGTGGTGTGGTGGACTGTGATCTAGAGATGAACATGTAATATGTTTCTCATTCTGATGGCTTGATGAACTAATTGTGAACTAGAGATGAACACTGACTTTGTTTTTAATTCAAACGAGTTGTGAACTAGAGATGAACACTGACTTTGTTTTTAATTCAAACTAATTGTGAACTAGAGATGAACACTGACCTTGTTTTACCTCAAACTAATTGTGAACTAGAGATGAACACTGACTTTGTTTTTAATGCAAACTAATTGTGAACTAGAGATGAACAATGACTTTGTTTTTATTCAAACTAATTGTGAACTAAAGATGAACACTGACTTTGTTTTTATTCAAACTAATTGTGAACTAGAGATGAACAGTGAATTTGTTTTTAATTCAAACGAGTTGTGAACTAGAGATGACCACTGACTTTGTTTTTATTCAAACTAATTGTCAACTAGAGATGAACAGTGAATTTGTTTTTAATTCAAACGAGTTGTGAACTAGAGATGACCACTGACTTTGTTTTTAATGCAAACTAATTGTGAACTAAAGATGAACACTGACTTTTTTTTTAATTCAAACTAATCGTGAACTAGAGATGACCACTGACTTTGTTTTTAATTCGAACGAGTTGTGAACTAGAGATGAACCCTGACTTTGTTTTTATTCAAACTAATTGTCAACTAGAGATGAACACTGTCCTTGTTTTTCCGCAAACTAATTGTGAACTAGAGATGACCACTGACTTTGTTTTTAATTCAAACGAGTTGTGAACTAGAGATGAACACTGTCCTTGTTTTTCCGCAAACTAATTGTGAACTAAAGATGAACACTGACTTTCTTTTTATTCAAACTAATTGTGAACTAAAGATGAACACTGACTTTGTTTTTAATTCAAACTAATTGTCAACTAGAGATGAACAGTGAATTTGTTTTTAATTCAAACGAGTTGTGAACTAGAGATGAACACTGGCTTTGTTTTAATTCAAACTAATTGTGAACTAGAGATGAACCCTGACTTTGTTTTTATTCAAACTAATTGTCAACTAGAGATGAACAGTGAATTTGTTTTTAATTCAAACGAGTTGTGAACTAGAGATGACCACTGACTTTGTTTTTATTCAAACTAATTGTGAACTAGAGATGACCACTGACTTTGTTTTTATTCAAACTAATTGTCAACTAGAGATGAACAATGACTTTGTTTTTATTCAAACTAATTGTCAACTAGAGATGAACACTGGCTTTGTTTTTAATTCGAACGAGTTGTGAACTAGAGATGAACCCTGACTTTGTTTTTATTCAAACTAATTGTGAACTAGAGATGACCACTGACTTTGTTTTTATTCAAACTAATTGTCAACTAGAGATGAACAATGACTTTGTTTTTATTCAAACTAATTGTGAACTAGAGATGAACCCTGACTTTGTTTTTATTCAAACTAATTGTGAACTAAAGATGAACACTGACTTTTTTTTTAATTCAAACTAATCGTGAACTAGAGATGAACAGTGAATTTGTTTTTAATTCAAACTAATTTTGAACTAGAGATGAACCCTGACTTTGTTTTTAATGCAAACTAATTGTGAACTAGAGATGACCACTGACTTTGTTTTTAATGCAAACTAATTGTGAACTAGAGATGACCACTGACTTTGTTTTTATTCAAACTAATTGTGAACTAGAGATGACCACTGACTTTGTTTTTAATGCAAACTAATTGTGAACTAGAGATGAACACATACTATATTTATCATTCTGATGGTAATTGTGGACTAGAGATGAGTGCTTACTATGTTTTTGTGAGTGAGAAATGAACACATACTATATTTATCATTCTAATATTAACTAATTGTTAACTAGAGATGAACACAAACTATATTTGTCATCCTGCTGGTATGATATACTGTGAACCAGTTTTTACAGACTGTAATTATGCTAGCTGTGGGCGAGCTGTTAATCAATGGGAGGAGAGGTTTGTGAGGGACCTGCTAGGAGAGGGTAAAAGATTATATATTACTGCTAACCCATGCTGTTGGCCTGGAGTATTATGGTCTATGATAATGGTTTCCAGCACAAGCTGCTGAGAAAGGTTACACCAAGCCAGAAAAAAGGCCCCAGACAGTGTGTACAATTTGACCTTGACAATGTATCCCACACAGATATAAATATACATTCCTTACTGTCAGTGATGCAGTTTTTTTTACCCTTCTCTGAATTTGCACTCCTCAAACGTGCCACCGTAGACATGTACATAGTATAAATAGGAGATGTTTAAAACCTTTCTTTAAGATTTTTATAGACAGGCAAAAGTAACTAATAATGTATCTTCATGTTCCTGTAGGTCTACATGTTGAAAACATTGCACTTTAACAGAAATTTTCATGCAAATTAAGATCTTAACAGATAACGTTTTCTCTGGAAAACTTTCTTTCCTGAAATATGGTTTTAATCAGGCGGTTTATGTGGTGGAGTAAATTCAGGGCTTGGTTGCCAAAGTTGAGCAGTCCGAGCCATGTTGAGTGAGGTTTGATAGAATGCTACAGCTGTGAAAATGTGCCCTGGATCTTGTTAATGTGTTACTACTTGAGAGACTTGTTGATGGCTATATATCATTACTTCAGTTGTCTACCACAAATGCTTCAAATAAT